AGTCTATGTGCATAATTGCAATTTTAAATAGCAAAAACCCTGGCACTGTTATTTTGGACTGAGACTCCCAAACAACAAAGAACTTGTTTCACGACATGACTCAGGATGTGATAAGTTATTTGCACTCTGGCTTCAGTTACGTATTGCATCAAGTGATAAAGATTTAAGTGCAAGCACTCAACAAAAGTAGCCTTTGTACTATATCTAAATAATTGATGATTTTTTTTTTTCAAGCATTGGTAAGTCTGAGGAGAAAAAAAAAAGTAAAACAGTGAAGAATGACGCTGATTAGCTGAATTTATGAAAAAATGTTGCTTTTGTAAAACTAACTAATTTTACCACTTTTGTCAATATTGTGTCAACTGAGAAACAAAAGGGAAAAGAATAACGTGGTCTTGTTTTTAAAGTGTATTTTAGAAGCTGATCTGAGGCATGTATTCTGAAGATGGAAAATTGGTTTTATTTTGAGATGTGCTGTTGAATAACTTTTTCACATCTTGTTTAAACAGCAAATGAATTTCTTTTACATAGTTTTATGAAGATAAGATAGAATATATAATCTTGATGGCTCATCAAGCTTTAACTTTCAGATTATTTTCTGTACGGAATTGATGGATCAGTAGATAAAGCTTCAGTTAACGTCACTGAATTGTGATTGCACAGGGATTGTTCACTATGACCAGAAAAAAAAATGATAGACCTGTGAAATTACTCAGACATTTCTAAAATTATGAGCACACATTAATTAAAGCAAGAATGCATCTTCTGCCTCACTATAGTTGCTAAAATGCTTTTCAAGGACTGGACTAGACAGTACTTGTACATGATTTGAGGAAGTACAACCTATAGGACAGAAGCTAACAGGCCTATATTCAGTGCTATATCTACTTATATGACATAGGAATTGTAGTGATATCAACTAGTGAGCATCATTCTTGAGTTAGTTAATTTACAAATTTAGGAGAACAGAACCTTTTATAATACTTTACTATTACAATGATTACAATACACTGTAAATATCTTAAAAATTTTAAAAATAAAACAAAAATTTAGATTTTGCAAAAAATGCCTAAGGAAGTGCAAACAAACTCTCATAAAGACTGGTGCCTCTAGGCAGCATTGAAGAATATCAGGCATAGTAGGTAGTACTATGTCTTCAGATTACACTGAATTTTTAGAAAAAATAAAGGGATGGGGGATTGGTACTCAGACAATCAAGATCCCCCAAAGTGGAGTATGATAGATTATCTGTGTTTTAGCATAGTTTACTTTAATGATTTACAGTAGCAACTGTATTACTTTGCAATCTTCAAGAAAGTTTTTGCTTAGCTCAAACTTTAGCATTTACTTTAAAAGATTCAAGTATGAGAAACTGTAGAAGTTGGCAATCTGGTTTGAAGTTGTAGGAAAAAAAAAAAAACAAGTAAATATGGTGACCTCATTAGATAAAATTCCTCAGCACGAATTTGGGGAAATAATCATGTGTTCATTCTTCATTGTGTCACATAACTCAAATCGGATCCCCAAACTTAGGGTCTGGCAGGGCAGATAAAAGTTACCTGACAATTAGAGATGGTATTTCCATTCAGCAGTCTTTACATTTTGGTGTTATTTTGATTTAAGTGGGGAAAAAAAAGTAAATTAAGAAGATGAGTTAAAGATAGTGTCAAATGATAATTTCTGCCTACCAAGGAGAGACACCCCCCTCCCACCTTTAACCATATCTCCCTGTCAATGTTAGCTTCATAGTCATTGCCATCAAGTGAGCTGGCTGATTACTCTGTCTTCCTACCCAAATTGTAGTTGCATTTTACTCTCTGAATAGAAAGTGAAATAAGACCACAGCCTACATGAAGCACCTAGCTACTCTTCATATGTTTTAACTTAGTAATTGATAGAGCAAAATGATAAAAACTGTTCAGACCTTTGTTATGCAGAGAATGACAGTAACTTTGTTTATTAACTCATTTAATTATAATTGTAGGGGGAAAAAAGGTGTTTAATAGTGGAAAGTGCCTGTGAAAGAGATTCCATTTAATTATGCAAACACTGCTAGGTGATGTAAAGTAATAAGTTGCACATTTTCCATATTAGAAATATGAAAAAGGTATTCCTTCTGTTTTTGTACTAGCAGACAGAATTCTTGTATTTTTGTCAGCATGTGTAAAAGTAACTTTCTGCCTACTTTGCATTCCATTTATGTTTACTTGTAACTTATGACAATGAATATAATGGACCTTAAATATATCATTTGCATTTTTATCATACTTTTTGTTGGATCCAAAAATTTATGAAGCTCCTCTGGTAAGTACAATATTTGTACTTTTTCTTTCTTCCCTCCTTCTTTCTTTCCTGTTTTCCTACAGGCAATGTTCTACCAGTATTCACTAAAATCTGCTAAAATTAGTCAGGCCTTTGCTTTGAGAACTCTCACCCTACTTATTGTGTGAACAGAAAGCAAAGAATTCTAGAGGGGAAAAAAAAAAGACATGATTCTTTCTTTCTGTAATAGCTCTACCAAGGAGGAATAGATTTTGAAAAACAGACATATGGATCTTATACCAAGACAATGAATAAATTATTCCTCTGCCACATTCAAATACTACAGCAGTGTCATAGAAAATCTCATGTGAATATTAGTTTTGTACTGAGATGATAAATTAGGTGGTGTGCAGTATTCAAAGCATGTTGCCAAACTCTGAACAAGAGAATGGAATGAAATACTGAACTTTTGCTCATTCACTGAGAGTAAGTCTTCCTGGGCAATGAACAAAGCTGGGAATCAGTCAGAAATAGTTCATTGAAAAGACATTTTCAAAAGGAGGATGTATAACTTAAACTAAAGGTTATCAACATTCATTCTGGTATTTCCTAAGGTTGGAGATCTTGGTGTTTAACCTTAATGATCTTCAATGTATTTTTAGATGTGTTTTAATAAATGTAATCTTAAAAGCTCCCAATAAAGAGTGAGATCCTATTGTACTAGACTACAAAAAACAGTAAGAGAAAATGACTGCCCTTAAGTAGTTTTTTGTATAAATATGTGCAGTTTTTTTTTTTTTTTTAGAGATTGATGTTGTTCAGAGTAGGAACAATAGGGCTTTTTCTCTTGCAATGCCTTTCAAATTGAGACAGAGATGAGAGCAGCCAAGTGTCTCCACCATAGCTGTTATCAAAAGAATTACTTTACCATAGGGTTCTTAGCTAAAGGTCAGGGAGTTGCTGCAACTCTGCCCTTCTTGTGTTTCTGAAAGGGAAGCAGCTCTCCTCTAAACCCCAGATAGTCAGGACAGGCTCCGAAAATGAAAGAGAAGGTTCTACTATAACAAAGATCATAATTTCCTGAGCTATAAACAACTGAATCACATACATTTTGTAGCAGACTTTTTGAACATTGCTAGAGAACATTTTCTGTAAGACTTAGAAATCTCCTAGCCTTTACAGACAGCACCTAACCCAGTATTTTGTGCACACAAACTAAGCAGTCTTATTCTTTCTGATTGATTTTCGAATTGATATTGACTTTCTGATTCACATTCACCTCACTGAGTACCTTTCATTCATCCATCATATTTCTAGCGTGCTCATCACTGTAGCCTGTCAAGGCTGCACATAAATCATGTGATAAATAATCACATGACAGATACCTATGCAAATGATTATTTCTTTGCCAGTCCCAATAATTTAGTATCTTTCAAAACTGCAGTAATTATAATCCCTTCCTTTCTCTTGGTGTATTTTACTGTACAGCCTATTTATTCTGATCTATTTGTTTATCTTAACCTTCCCTTATTATTTTCTGAGAACAAAAACACTTCTGAAGAAATGAAGCTAATGAGCATTAGAAAAGTCTGCATGAAATCCAAAGCAATTTCATGCCGGTGAAAACATCATGTATTACAGTACTGTAGTTTTGTCTACTGCAGAGCTGTAGACTGATTTTATTATGTAAGGTTAACAGAAATTTAAAAATAATAATAAAAAAAAGGAAAAAACATACAATCCAGTTTTGCAGCCCTTAAATGTATTCTGAAAGAGTGAAAACAACTGAGTGATTTGAAAAAGATACTAAAAACATTGCCTTTATCCTCAACATAATAGGTACCCATGAATATTTGGATTCTTATTTTTCATTTTAATAAAGTTTTACATTTTAATATTAAGAGCTATATTTCTTACAACATGATATTTTTCTTTTGAGTAAAAGAGTCCATTGGAACAATGATTTCTTCCTACTTTTCATACTGCCAACAGAATTGTTACAACAATGTTGCTGGAAATTTCAATCGGTATATGTTTAAAGTCTCTTTTCTGAGTACTTCTACTACCATGGAATTTAATGAACATTCAGTGAAAACTTAAGAAAATCTAGAGCACTCTTTACAAACAGTGACAGAGACCTAACAGTAAGAAAGAAGATGTTTGGTCTTTCAATTTTTAGCTCGCATTTCAGTCAGGTTCCCTCATTGTTACAACCTAAACGATTCCAAAAACTAAAGTAAGCAGTGACAGTGGCACAACATAATGTAATTATAGTTACTCAATAACAATCATATCTCTTTAATGAAAAAAAAACTACTTGTCAAAGTAAGTTTAAATGTAAACTTGATGTCTCTGTCCCTGCACATATGATAGAAAATGTCCCATGCCCCCTAAAACAAGTTAACTAAACCATTAAAAGAGAGGAAGAAATATAGGACAGAAAGCAACAGATTTGCATATTTATTTTCCTCTCTAATTACAAAAAAAAAATTTCCTTGCTATTTAAGAACTAAGAAGAAATGACTAAAATAGCTTTCTTGAAATTGATTCAGTGCTATCATAAAATTCAAGCCCAAAAGTCCTATGAAGTGTTAACTGTATCAAGTTTGTAAAAAAAAAATGGCTAAACTTTTTTGCCATTGAATCAGAATTCTGTAACTAATTAATTTTCAATTAATTGATAAAGATATTATTTTCCATCACAGACATAAATACCAAAGCATTTTTTTCAATTCCAGTTTTTACATAAAACAGAACTTCTCTTGAGTGAATACCTGGAGCATGCTGATTGAATAGATACTGTAAGTAATAAGATGTTGTCCAATTACCAACTGCTGTCAGTAACAAAAAGATCACAGCTCGTACATTTGTTTTGCCTTTCACCAAATTCTGAGAGTGTGGGAAAGTGGCTGTCACAATGGAAGAGGAGGACCTGGGTAGGTTTGGCCTCTCTATTTGGAATTGTTCTTGCTGCCCATCATCACCAAGAATCAATGAGAATCACTTCTAATCCATCTCTTCTTTTTCTCTCTTAGTTCTGTAGAGGGTTCAATCATGATGTGAATTTTCAGCTTGGAATGGCAAGACTGAAGTTCTCCTATGTTTCTGAGAGGTGTTATCACAAAGGCTGAGATAGAATCAGATACCCTAGGAAGCGAAGAGCTGTAAGTCTTGGCTTTTTTATCCTTATGGCTTTTTCTCCTGGGAGAGGCTGCTTTTGCTCAGCAGCCTTATGTCCCCATTCCCATTTCAAGGCAAGTAATTCTTCTTGTAAAGGGAGCATAGAAACTTTTTAGTCTTGGGTTATACTTGAATTTAGATCTCTTCATACTTTAGTAAACCTAAAGTATACTGACTAGTATCAAAATACACCAATGGTGTTTTCTTTAGGCATCCATATTTATTTGTACATTTGGAAAGAAGTCTTTCAGCTACATCAGTCCTACTGGACTTTAACCACTGGGACTTCTCTGAGGATGTATTTATGTTTTTTCAAGATCAGGACTTAGATCTTCCAAAGATGACTGAAATTGTTACACAGATAGCAAGGGGAATTTTTTAAATTATCATTTTTTCTGCTACAAATTCAATATTTATTTCTTTCTTTGTATAGTTTTTGTGTGGTACTGTCCTTACAGTAATTAGACACTGTTTCAATGATTTTGTTGAAGAAGTATGTGTATATTCTAGTAACTTGTATTCTCATAGATAGTGAATTTGCATCTGTTCAGTTACCGTTTCTGGAATACATCATACTGACAAATGATTGATTAGATTTGACAGAGGAAAATGAAGTGTACTTGATGTAAAGTGTCAGTACAGTACTAGCAATAATTTTATGTATAGCTGAGCAGATGGTTTACTTGTTTTCAACTATATTTGTTTATTTCCCATTTATGATTATAAATAAGTTTCAGATGCTTCTCCTTCCTTTCCCTCCTTTCCCCTTCTCTCTTCTCCCCACTTCTATTCCCTTTCTATCCCTTCTCCTTGTCTCTTCTTGCCTTTTTTCTCCTTGTACCTCCTCATCTCTTGCTTTGCCTCACCTTGTCTTGCCTCACTTTTCTCTATTCTCACTTTTGCTGTCCTGCCAAGTCCTGGAGTATTTTTGAAAGACAACTTAATAATACCAAAAACTTATATTTCCTAAAGCAGTGAGAAAATAAAATTATTTTAATTATTGCATACTCAGCATTTATTGAAAAAAAAAAAAGGAAGAAATAAGTTATTAACTAAAAAGTTCACAGTATCCATAAAAGGCCTCCTTAAAAATGTATAAAATATTTGTGTTGTATGTGAGCACTTGTAGGTATGTTCAGCAGAGTGTTAGATACCTATTACATAGCAAATGTGAATCAAATGTGAATTAATTTTAGGGTAGTAAAACATTATTAATAGATAAACACTGTCTGTCTATTAATGGTTAAATAATAGAATGGGAGATTAGGCATAACTACCAAATACTCCACCAATCAAAACAAGCTGTTCATGAAAATGCATTTGTCATTAATTTTCATCCAACATTAATAGGTAATGAGTATGTGGAATTGGAAACTGTATTTCTCTGGTATTTCCAAGCTTAATGTAGTATCAGCACCTCATACCTTCTTTTATTGTCAAGTTCTGTTGTACAGCAAAATCAAATCAACTGGTAAATGGACATGACACTATGTTCTGATCAGTTTCAAGTTGAGGAACTTTGAATTAGCAACAAACTGTTCTGGAGAAAAGGAGAAAAATTGACCTTCCTTAAGAACACAATTCTTACTGTCTCAAAAACAACCAGTTTATCTCCGATATGGATGGCTGCATCTCTAAAGGTTTAGCAGCTTGAAAAAAAGATCCTAAGGGTTAGATTTCTGGATGCAAGCATTTAAAATCTTCCATTCTTTTTACTCTGATATGCAATAAGGCTTCAGGTATTTCTTTTAACCTCTTTTTTTTTTTTCTTCAAGTTTTTTTGGATTTGTGCTTTCTCAGATGTGATACAAAGATCTTCAGATGCAGAATTGCAACAAGGATAGTGGGAGTTGTCAATATAAGGCATCTAAGTCTTAAGTATTTAAGTGTTTCTTCAAGTGACTCCATATAATGTGAAAGAAAATTCCCTCAACCTAAGTGATATTTAAATTTCTTCAAAACAGCATTAGGAAAAGCAAGGTTGTTCTGTTGGCTTTATACAGAACAAAATTATCCCACGTAAGATGAATGCCTGTTGTCTTGGGATTAAGTCTGAACTTTCCACTTTCTTCAGCAAAGGAGATCATGTATAATCAATGCTGATAGCATTAAGTGGAACACTCATTCTGTTTGTTTTTTTTCTTAACTGATTTCAGAATCACAGTGGGGGAAAAAAAAAAATCACAAAATATGAGAAAATCAAGGAATCAGTTTCTCGAGGCTTTAAAGGAAGATGTGAATGGAAAAGCAAATGTGCTTCTACTAGTATCAGCAAATGTAATGTATGTTGTCACACAGAAATACCAATTTGACAAAAAGAAATCTTTTTCACTGGAAAAGCAAAAATTCCAATATATTATTCTGGAGAAATTGGATCTATTGTGCATGTACTGTAAAGGTAGACTGTAGTTCTACAATAAATCTGATATGCTCTTGCAATTAAAAAAATATATATATTGAAGTGTACAATTGATTTGAATTTCTGTGAAAACCAAACGAACACCTACATTTCGTTTGTTGGATAAATGTTCCAAATCAGAGAAAAATATGCACCTGATTACTCTTTGTAACAGTCAGATTGAATTAATATAAGTGAATTAGCACTGTTTTGAATGTTTCTTTTGATAGTTTTTAAGTAAGAGTTCTTATTTTTTAAATTTTAAAATGATATTTAGCTGGTAAATTGAACTACAATCATTGAAAATGTCTATTGCTGGACTAAATATTTCATTATTATTTATATTTTGTCACAATTTAATTTTTCTTTTTAAATTTGTATTACAATTCAATAAAAAAGTTTTAAAATCCTTCTATTTTCATCAGGTATTTACAAAATTCTTTTTTTATCTTATATTCAATGACAGCAAAAAATCTAACCTGAAAGCATTCTCAAAATGTTACATTGCATTCAAGTAAGTGTTGTATTTTCAGTCTTAGTCAGGGGCTGACTGCGTAAATATATATTATTAACTGCAAACTAAGGAAATCTCTTCAGGTTTCCATGTTAAAATAGTTACTAAATAGAAAATTTCTTTGTGCGCTACTCAATTTAGGAAAGTGTAAAATGAGCAAATTCTGTCTTTCGATGCATCTCTACATATTTCATACTGTAGTAGTGTTATAAATACATTACATCTTTTTGTGCTGTGGAGAATTCTTGTTAATTACTCATAATTCAGATGTTAATTGGTATTCTTTAGTACTTTCTTTGAACAGTAAAGGTTTTCATACACTTAAGCTATTGAAGACATTGAAATCTGTTTGGTGATAATCGGTAATCAAGAAACAAGGGAAGGCTCAGGGGAGACCTCATTGTATTCTACAGCTTCCTGAAGGAAGGTTGTGATGAGGAGGGGTTTGGTCTCTTCTCCCAGGCAACAAACATGGCCCAAGGAAATGGCCACAAGTTGTGCCAAAGGAGGTTTTGGGTTAGACTTAAGGAAAAACTTTTTCTCTCACGAAGAGGTCAGCACTGGAATGGCTGCCCAAGGAGGTGGTGGAGTCACCATCCCTGGCAGTGTTCAAGAGGTGTCTGGATGAGGAGCTACAAGACATTGTTTAATAGCTTGTGGTAGCAATGGTAGTGGGAGAATGGTTGGACTAGATGATTTTGTAGATCCTTTCCAACCTTGTGGTTCTATGATTCTACAAGACAGCAGAATAGAATCAGTATAATAGCAGTTGCAGTGAACATTACCCTCCTTTGGACCAAATGGAATAGTTGGAAAAAAATGGGTAGTGGTTTGAGTTCTTCTTCAAGTTGCCTTTTTCTTCAAGTTATATCAGTAGATTTAACAAAATCATTAACCCACTTAAACCTTTGTTTTGTCTCTGCTCTTAGTCTGCATGGTTACAAAAACCCTTGCTGAATGATAACAGCATTGTGAGCCAAGACTCCCCATAATTCCAGTGCTAATGCTTATAAATATAATATGAAGCTCAAGATATTAAAAATACAAGTATATCAGAAGTTCAGAAAATCAGTTTTATTTAAATGTAAATTAACAAACTCTCCTTTCCTCCAGTCTAACAGAATTGCATAGTCCACTGATTTTAATTAAGATGGGAAAACTGTTTTGATTTAAAAAAAAAAAAAAAAAAAAAAAAAAAAAAAAAGAAATGACCCCAACATGTACCCAAAACTTAAAATGAAACTACTTTGAAGTGAATAGAAGGGGGGGTGGGGTGGGAAAGAAAGTTCTCTCCTATGTTTTTAACACTTTTTTTCTCTTCTGTAAACACAGGCATGCATTGTGGCTAAAGAACAGTTTCTGAATTAGAGAACATATCTGCTTAAAATACTCTTGTGAAGAGTGGACACAGAGATAATGCTATTCTACCTATGCAGGTATGTCAGGACCTGAAGACTCAGACAGAAATACAACATTTTCCTTTTTCATGATGTATATTTCATGTCAGAACATGAGTACTTTTTATTAGAAGAATTAAATAACATATTTCAAAGAAGTATGTGGAATAACAAATTATTTCCTCAAGGGATTCACCAGTATAAAGAGCCCTGGATGTCAAAGACATGCATAGTTGAATAACTTGTAATTTCAGTGGAAATTATTCCTTAAGCATAACATGGAGAGATGTGGATCTTGCCTTCCTAATGTATCTCTGAGCAGTGAAATAACAGAAGTACAAATTAGCAGGTATGAGTTAAAATAATGAAATTCTACTGCAAATATACACCCCCTACAGCTTGTTCTTTTAAGCACTGTAGTCTATGCCACCTGGTAATTGATTTAATAATCCATTTTCATAAGATCAAAAAAAAAAGCATAAGGTGAGTACCTACTTTAGCAAACATCAAACTTATAGTTTGAGCTAGTGGTAGCTATAGTACAGTACAACTATTGTCCTACATAAATCCATTAAGACATTGCAGTAGGCCATTACTATTACTTGTTGTCTCTGCCAAGCCAAATTTTGTCATCTCAGTTTGAGTTTATCCTAGAGTTAGGAAATCAATTAT